CACATATATGTGTGTGTGTGTGTGTGTGTGTGTACATATATACATGCATATATATGTATGTGTATGTGTGTGTACATATATACATACATATATATGTTTGTGTGTATGTATAGGTATGTATGTATGTATGTATGTATCTATCTATCTATATGTGTGTGTGTGTGTGTGTGTGTGTGCTTTATAACCACTAAATCTATAATTATCCTTTCGAAATCTCAAACCAAATTAAGCTACAAATAAAACAAATAAGTTAACATGAACAATCGTAAACAAAAATCCCGCCCCGAATCCTGCAGAAAAAATTGCAGACAAAGCTGTTAAGACAAATTATGCAAGAGAGACTACACTCCCTCATGCATACACAGACCATTCCAAGTGTCTGCGTCTAGGGAGTTTGGTAGTTGGAAAATTAACTGTAAATCTATAGTTTGTCTTTCTTTTTAAGTTTTCTCCTTATTTTTACTGCTTTCGTCTGGAAAGCTTATGTGGAATTGAGGAAAGATGGGATGAGAGATTAAGAAGCAATGATAATAAATAAAAATCCGGGAAAGTAGCAGACGAAATGGTGTAAGAAGATTAAAAAGTCCGATCGAGTTGAATGCAAAATGGAGATTCTGGGGAAAACAATGCCAGAGAAAGTCTCAACTACATCATGAGGTGGACTAAGAAGGGTAAAAATACGAGAAAATAAGACGCCCTTTTTCTCTCCCTACATTTCCTTCCATTTCTCTTCTACCTCTGTTATTCTCTTCTTTCTCTTCCTTCGCCAGCCTCTTCTCCCTCCTTCGTCTTCTACCTCATCTTCCATCCTCTTCTTCCTCCTCCATCCTCTTCCTCATCCTGCATCTTCTTCTTCCTCCCACCTCTTCCTCCTACTCCATCCTCTTCCTCCTCCTCCATCCACTTCCTCCTCCATTCCCTTCTTAATCCTTTATCCTATTCCTATTCCTCCTCCATCCTCTTCCTCCTTCTGTATACTCTTCCTCCTCCTCCTCCATGCTCTCTCTTTTCCTCCATCCTCTTCCTCCTCTTCCGTACTCTTCCGTACTCTTCCTCCTTCCCCCATTCTCTCCCTCCTCTACTATCATCCTCCACCTTCGTCCTCTTCCTCCTCCCTCACCCTCTTCTTCCTCCTCCTCCTCCTCCTCTTCCTCCTCCTTACCTCCCTCCCTCCTATCCCCATTCCTCACCTCACAAACATTTCAAAACGGGGCCATTACACTGTTGACTGCTATTCAAGGAGGCACCCTCTTGTGTTGTTAGCCTTTGTAATGGTATTCGATGCAACTCTCTCTCTCGTGGGCTGAACGAGTGCTTTAGCCTGTTTTACTATAGGGCTGTTGCGTGCAATTATGATACTCATACTGCAGAAGGATGTTTACAGGGTGTGAGAGTACGTGGTTTTGTCTTTGAGTTTGTGATTGTTTTTTATAAGTGCATAGATTCGTGCGTTTCGGTGTAAGGAGAGAGAGAGAGTGAGGGAGAGTGAGTGAAAGAGAGAGAGAGAGAGAGAGAGAGAGAGAGAGAGAGAGAGAGAGAGAGAGAGAGAGAGAGAGAGAGAGAGAGAGAGAGAGAGACAGAGAGTGAGAGAGAGAGAAAGAGAGAGAAACAGAGAGATAGAGAGAGGGGGGGGGGTACAAGCGCAAGCGGTAACGAATGAGAGCAACAGAGATATGAGGAATGTAAAATGAAATAAAAATGATAACATTTTTAAAGATTTCTCTCTCCCTCTCCCTCCCTCCCCACTCCCCCTACCCCTGCCCCTCCCTCTCCCTCCCTCTCCCTCCCTCCCTCTCCCCCTCCCCCTGCCCCACCCTCTCCCTCCCTCCCTCTCCCTCTTTCTCTTTAAGCAGACCTTTTACCTCCTCGACAGTTCTTTAAACGCGAGAGGCCACCAATACGCAGGGCTCTCACGGCAAAACACCGAGCAAATATCCTGATGCATTCACTCGTTGCTTGGGATTTTTACTTGATAGCATACGGTAGGAAAAAGTTGATGTGCTTCGATATGCATTTTTCTTTTCGCTTTTACTGAGTGTTTTTGATGGGGTTGTCTTTTCGTGTGAAACGATCAGTGTGGGATAAATCTGATTTGAATATTCGTTTTCTTTCTGATGGATGATTCATGCCTGTCTCATTTATTTGCGGTTTTTTCTATAAAATGAAATTGATATCGACTGATATGGTAACATATGTTAGTCAGTTATTCAACACACTCCCACACACATGCTAGCACGCACGCACGCACGCATTCACGTACGCATTCACGCACGAACACGCACGAACTCGCGCACACACACACACACACACACACACACACACACACACACACACACACACACACACACACACACACACACACACATCATAATATATTTCTATGAATAAAAATTATCAACAAGATTTGACGTGTCTGTCTTGTAAAGGCTTCACATTCCGTCATTCATTAAACAAATGCAAATATATGCGGTATAATCAAACAAACGCGCGCGCACACGCC